AAAAACGATGATGTAATGGTATGCTTTTGAGTAGAACCCCGTTGACGATGTACATGCATTGTTTCAATCCCCAAACACCGGAGACATAAGGGAGTTAGACCCTCGTTAACCCCTCTAAGCCTTTGAAGTAGGAGTTTCTTTTTCCGTTAAAAAAAACCCTTATTTTTTTAACCAGGGGCAGGGTAGATGTTCAGTTAATTTGACCAAGCATTCAAATTTCAGAAGGAATGTCCCATTTGAGGATCACCACATTTTATCTTTCGCATCATGAGATCAGAAGAAATGTCAAAACCACGATGTTCATTTCCTCACAAAGTCCTGAGGTCGAGATCGAATCGATACAATAATGGATATCCCTCGCCGACCAAGGAATGAGGCATTTGTTTTCTTCAAAAAAAAAAGAAAGAAAGAAAAAGTTCAAAGACCTAAAGTCACATTGACTTGTTCGGAGTGGAAAGTATGAATAAGAAAGAAACAAAATCCCCGCTAAGTCGAAACTTGAAAATAAGTCTGTTGTACCCCAAAATTTGGCCTCTCATTTATCAAGACTTTTCTCACAAGACTTCTTGGACTCAAGACAAGATTAGGGTTTGGTCAGCTCAAGACACCTTATCTTGCACTGATAACCCAAAATTAGGGTTTGAGTTTGCATAAGGATTTTTGGACCACCAATGCTTCATGTGACTTTCACACATCATTTTTGACCCCTAAGATTGCTCATGTTAAGTTTCAAGCCTTGAACCACATTTTTTATCAGTCAATTTGACAGTTGACTTAAAAATCAACTGTATTGGGGGAAAAGTCAACCATGGCCAATTTACAGTCAAACTTCATAATTTTTTATCCACATCAACATTCTAGACTCATATGTACCATTTGATCAAGTTTGGATCAAAACTCCTCAAGAAATTTGATCAAATCATCAAAAGGGCAAAATGGTCAAAATTAGGGTTTTGACTGAGAAAGGGCAATTTCTGATTTTTAACTTAGCCAATGACCAATTGAATTCAAGAATGATTTCAAGGATTCAATGGCATCATCTTGACCTAATTACATGGCTCAAAAGATCTCAAGTTCATTGGATTGACAGATGAAATTTGCAGTCAACTGATCAAAAGTCAACTGTACATTGAAAAGTCAAACTTTGACTTTTTGGTCAAAATCAAGTACCAGGGGTTATAATTCATCAAGATATGTCAAAATATGAAAATTGTTCACCAAGAAAACCAAATTTGAAAATTAGGGTTTTAATTTGAAATTTTTCATAACTTGGAATTTTTCTAAGTATAAAAATTTTCTTATTTTTTCTCAACTTTTCACCACTTTTTCACCATGATGCATTTTGATTCAAGAAAAGTTCCCAACATGAAAGTTGTAGTCCTCCATGAAATCTACAACTTTTATTCACAAACTTTTCCAAAAAGATGCTTGGATCTCAAGTTATGAATTTGTGAATATAGGTCCATGAACTTCTTAACTTAGTGAAATTTTGCCCTAATTTAGGTAGGTTTTGGACCCAACTTCATGGACATTTTTCACCTAGTTACAAGAGGTATCTCAAATTTAATTTCAAATATGGATTATAGAGCATATTGAAAGCTTTCCAAAATGTCAAAGAACTCTCCAAGATCATTTTTGAGTAGGGAGAATCGGAGAAGGGAAGTTGGCATTTTCTCACTTTTGTTCAAGCCATTTTCACATAGCATCAAGTTGCAAATCCAATCTATGCTGGTTATATCTTGCTTTAAGGGTCCTGAGCTTGCTATACACTCCATAATTAAATGCATACTCAGAAGCTAAAGCCTTTATCTTTGCTTTTGAAGCTTTACACAAGTTGTATTTCCATTTTGGGCAAAAAGTTCACATTGCCATTTTCATAAAGAGGAACTTTTGCAACTTTGTCAATCTTGAGCATTGAACATGTCCTCTTGATGCATACAAACTCTACAGCTCTCAAGAAATGTGTACCAACTCTTATCAGCCCTACAGTCAGCTAGTACAAGCATGTGGGATTGGTCATGTCAACTTTGCTTCAAATGCAAGAAAAGTGGCAAAAGGGTTAAGGCTTGCACAGCTAGTGAAGAGCTGACTTGGTATCACTTCTATAAAAATATACAAACTTGTTACAAGGCATAGCATGCTTGGATTGAACCTGAAACTCACTAAAACTCAAAAACACTCAAAACTGCCCAAAACACAGAATTTCTGCAAAAGCACAGTCAACTCTCATTTGCCTCGTGCGTTTTGTGTTTAAACAGTTCAAACATCTCATACACTTGATAACTAATCAATCCAAGCCATCACCCTGGTTCTGTAACCCCTGTTTCAGCATCCACCATTTTCACTTTGGAAGCTTGCAGTTGGACTTGGTCAGAGAGTTCCAGCCATCCTCAAAGAAAGATAAGCATTGGAATAGCTTGAGGGAAGTTCAAGGAAGCTCAAACAGTCATCAGGCCTCCATTAAAGTCCCTACATTGCCCTACTCGAATCCAACTGAAGGGGGTATTTTTTTCAAACTCTATCTCTCTGAATAGGCAACCTCAAGCCACGATTTGTGAAGGAAAAACGTAGCTCTCATCATGACAAAACTGTACATATCATTACTTTTCATTTATGTTACTTGTGCTAAGAGAATTTGAAGCTTGAAGTCCCTGAAATTTTTAGGTCATGAATTAGGGGTTCCAAAATTCTCCTTGATCTTTTAGAGTTAGGTTACATAATTTATATGGTTGGAATCGTGAACTAAAATGCCACATTTTTCATGTTATGAGTTTTTGTTTTTATGCAAGCATCAAAGAGTTACAGGTTTGAACTGGAAGCGCGTGCAGGAAGCTGACCAAGGACAGGGATGAAGCGCTTCTGGGCTTTCTGTGCTTTGGGCCTTTTTTGTTTTTACTAATCACACCCCCTGACTTGCTACTGCACCCCCTGGCTGATTTTTATATTTTTCATATTTTTCATATTTTTTATATTTATTGCTTTTGATTATTTTTTCTGAATAATAAAAAAATCCTAAAAATAATTTCTTTATTTTTACAATTTTATTTTATTTTTTTTATTTTTTATTTTTACATAAAAATTAATATATTTGAATAGGATAGAACTTATTTTCCTAAATAGCTTATAAATAATTAAAAAATACTTAATATTTTTTATTATACATTTTATACTTACAAATACCAATTTTTTACATATACTTAATTTTTTAATATTTACATATAATATTATTTATTATTTGCTTATACAAAAAATGTACAAAATAATAATATGAAACATGTATTTTCTTTTAATTGAAAATTAGAGTTTCACCCCTTTCAAAAGGAATTAATTTATTTTTCCTTATTTTTAGGATTAAGTTAAATATTTCTTTTATACAAAAACAAGACATAAAACATTTTTTACATGAATCCATTGCATTGCATTTTAAATACTTGCCTTATATTTATTTAATTCGCGCAATATTCGATTTGGTTGTAATAATATATTTAGGTTTATATTTGTGCAAAATCTTCATTCAAATTTGTATTCCCCCTCCCATAAAAATTGTTGTAATAGCTTAATATATTTACATTTATGCAATTTATCGCTTTTATACCATGATTAGTAATTAGGGTTTGCATGACAAGAACAAAAACAAAACAAAATAGAAAACCCTAAATACAAGACAAAAGCATGAAAATGACATATTTTACACACAAACACCCATAAGAAAATAAAAATGAAGAGTCAATTGTAATCTTCAATTTATTTATAATTTAACATGAAAGTCACAAGAAAAAGTATCAATATACCAACAATCTTTGATACACAAATAGAAAATAAAAATACATGATTGTTTTCTTTTCTTCCAATCTACTTTCTGGAATTAGTTCAATATATTTACATCGCAATAGTTAAATTCATTGTATTTATAATATACATGATGACACTTAAGCTACTATACATTGTATCATACTTCATGATTTGTATTCATACATTGTATCATACTTCATGATTTGTATCATACTTTGGAAATCTAAATTGCAGTTGCAAATAGTTTGGTCTAGCAGGAACATTGAAATTTATAACAGACATTGTATCGGTGACAATGAGTTTGATGATGAATTAAGTGAAAGTGAAACCTATAATGTTCCTATAAGTGAAAGTAGCAGGAACATTATATTGTCATCCATAATATTTTTGATAGAAACCTATAAGTATGTTACAACATACTAGTAGTCAAGGAATGTATCAAATAAATGTGTAGTAGAAGAGTGTATTAAAATTGCAGGAAAAGAACCATTAAAAACCAAGTTGTCAGTTGTATAGAACTAAGTATCTCAGAAATGAAACAGAAATGCCAATGTTTATAATCCATTTTCAACAACTAACATGTAGTGTAATCTATGTTTGCAAATGATACAAAAGAAGTTTCTAATAAGAATGTAGATGAATAGAAAGAACACTGAAAAAATACAACAACACAACCATTAAAGCCATAAATGTTCAAAACAGAACATATATACATTCAGGCAGCAGAACAAGTCCAAGTAATGCATTCCTAAAAGAAAATATTCGAATGATAATTTGTCCCAAAGCATGAAAAGATACAATATTCTTTTACAAGTATCTCAACATCAAATTATTTTCATACCAGGAAACATCTGCAATGCAAATTGATGGTGATAACTCAGTGGTGACTCGGTTCTGAAAATTTGAAACAAAACCATTAATAAAAAATGACAACATTAATTGTTGCTAAAAAAAAGAGATATTTGTATCAGTTTAACAACTTTACAGGACACCAAAAGCCCGTGAAAGGTTACCTTGTAGAGTGAATGGTTACCTTGCGGTTGTATAGCATTAAATGTAGGAAGAACTGGGTTGGAATTGCACGATGGTAACAGTGGCAAAACTGAAATCGAAACCATAATCATAAAAAAATCTATATCTTTTTCTTCCACAACTTGTATTAAATTCAACTTATCATGACTTTTTTAAACTCAAAAACAATCATAAAATCAATTTTTGTACAGAAGGTGATGGTGAACGCCCTTTACTACATCAAATCAAAATAACCATCAACTCCAGATCCTCATTGATTCCTTAACCAACTTAATGCCATAGTTAGATGCAACATTTGTAGATACCTTGTCGTTGTAGATGTTGGTGTTTCTCTATTATAGCTCGAACAACTTTGGAATACAAACATAATAAATACAACATAAGACTTCCTATAGTAGTCTCTTAGATAAGTGAAATCAAAACATTGGCGGTAAAAATATATACCATTCCTAAGGTTAATCCACTCTTCTTCATCCTCAAGGATGCATCCAACATATTTTGACTTGGTAAGGTTGGCACCAATCATGGTCTCCCCAACTGAAATTATGCAAGGAGTGTAATCATTTAACAACATATACACAATTCTAATAGTAATAGACTTGAGAAAAATGTTATACATGCCTGGCAAGATATATAGCTTGTGATATTTTGGAGTACTGATCACCAACGACTGTTGGGTAATACCCTTGTGATCCATACACCCTTGGTATGTCCTTATTCTCTAAATTTACCACATAAAGGAAAGCAATGTTAGATAAATTCATAAGATTAATCTTCCCTAAGGTAATAATTAGTTTGAATGATATAAGTTCTCGACTCCTGAAAGCAGCAACAATATTTATTCCTATCTCGTGAAATGTATTGCCTAAAAGTCATATTGATGATTTCAATATACGATGATATTGGCAAATCAATTATTCATCTTAGTAATCACTTTCAACATCGATTAACTAAAGTTTCTTTATTTGGAGGTGATCGATAATACCTGTTCAATACAAGATACATGTAGCTTGGCTCTAGAAACTTCAACAATTTTCTCATCCAACAAGTCATTCACTTTATAGGTCACATAACCTAAATGGTCCACTGTATTTACAAGAGCTTTGATACATTAAGATAGAACCAAAAACCAAAGATATAGAGAATATGACAACATTAACAATTAGGTATAAATATATACCAGCTTTACCATAACAACTCACATCTATTTTCGGTCATCGTTGGTATACGAAAGTTCAAAATATTCAGCTGTGGAAGAAGGTTCAGATTGGACCGTAAAAAGAAACTCAAAACTGACGTGTCAATTCTGCATCACCAACCATTGAAGTTTGACGTACGATGCAATAGTAGCAACGCCACAACCTACAGATTTGGAACGAAATGTATCAACACTTACGACAACACAAACTGAAGCAGTTTCAACACTACAACCTTCGAGTTTCTCGCATCAACACTTACAACAACATAAATTTGTAGACACCGATATAGATTACCGCAAAGATTACACCCTCTAAGCTACTTCTTTGTACAAAATAGAACTATTTCACCGCAAAGATTATTCATAAGTTAATTGGGGGAAATTATAACCCCAAACAGTTCAAACAACTCGCCAACTTCATCATAGAGCGTAATAATTAATCACAAACAAAGAAACAAAGAATAAAAACAAAAACAAAAACTGTCAAAGAAACCTTAATTAAAACCCCCAAAATCATGAAACACCAATGCATACAACACAAAATCGATAAAACAACTATTAGATATAAAATAATCAATATAATAACTAACCAAGATAAGATCAAACAATGTTTCCTGCTCAACCTTAACAAACTCAGCATCCCACACTTGAGTTCATCTCTAGAGGGTTTTTCATCAGAAAGGGAAACAGACCCAAACTTCCTCCTTTTCTGTTTTGTTGGGAAAGAGGAAAAGAAGAGAGGGAGAAAAAGGAAAGAAGTGAGCAAGATCAGAGAGAGAAAGAGAGAGACAAGTGGAGAAAAATGGTAGACGGGAAAAAGAGAGAAGGTGAGGGAAAGTGGGGAAAATGGTTTTTGAAAATATTAGGTGCCAATTGGCAAAATACTTTGTTTTCATTGGAAAATGTAATTTGATTTAGTCAATTAAAATTAAGGTAATTTTTTAGTGTAAACAAATTATGTTACCAAGGGTAAATTAGAGAGATTGACGGTAAGAAAGTTGATATCAATATCTTTTTTTGAACAAATTAAATGATATTATAAAAGGAGAAAAAAATATGTACAAAATGGGCTAAGTATGGCCTATGGAAAAAGAAAAAAAAAACAAAAACACAAAAAAAATGCAAGAAAAAATAAATGGAATCCATTAAGGGCGGGGATGATGATCAATCTCCTAACAAAATATTTGTTGAAGATATTAATTATGGAGTTAGACGGTGTAAAATCCTCTCCCAATATGACCTTTTTTTCAATGGTCCATAATTTCTTTAGAACATATGGTATATAGTTGATCATCATTTTTCATTAGTCTATCATTTTATTTGTTCTTGTTTTTGAGACAAATCTAAGTTTCTCTTATCTCCTTTCTACCAAAAACTTGTATAATGAATAGATGTCATTTTTACTATCTCTTTTAAGTCATGATCCTTAAGAGATGTAGCATTTGTATCATATATATCTTTTTTTAAAGTTGATTTTTCATACCTAAAAATATTTTCGTGGAGTCTTGTTCACTTTCCTTACTCTTATAAATAGATGATTCTTTAAGAGAAAAATATACTTTAGATACGGATCCGTTGTTAAAGGTTTACCTACTTTCTTGTCAAAAAGTGGTGCACCCTCTCTAAAATTTGAGTCCTTTCCATTTTGAAATTACTCGATGAACGCTTGAGTCTTACCATGTGAATGATCCTCCACCTCATTAATCGTCAGAAATTGGATTTGAAGTTCCTGTAACAACTTATTTATATTGATATATAATTATAAAAAAATGTTATCGTTAGTGATTGAATTCTAAACCAATAGGATATACACATTTAATTTAATTAATACATATTAGTTGAGTTATCTCACTCACTCAAATATAAAATTAAAATTGTTAGATAATTTTTTTTTGTAATATTAATTATTACACAATGTCACATTGTTTTTAATATTGTTTTTAATATGTCACATTACCTTTTAAATTCATAAATTGAAAAAGACATCAAAATCAAATTATATTTAAATGAAAAAAAATCATATTCTTGAATATGTACAAATAAAAATTAAAGCTTTAATTAATTTTCTTATTCTTTTAATGCTTCTTGATTTTTTTTTGTGGATAAAGTAGAACTATTTATTGATTAAAGTTAGATGAAGTAAAAAAAATTATTTATACTTATTCATTTTTTTCAAATATAAAATTTTGTCATTTAAACATCAAAATATAATCTGAAGATAATATATCTTTAAAGGTAAGGTGATATCATCTTCGATAAAAAAAAGTTGACTCATGAAAAGTAATTCTCAAGACTTTTTATGGGTTGAAAGATGTATAAATACATAAAATATTTTTATATCGATTGGAATATAATTTTCACATTGGTTAGCCTCTCGAGATACCATAAGGTGTTATGGTAAATTCGTCACATTTCACATCAGAAGACTAGCCGAAGTAGAAAAAAACTTATCACCTCAGTCGTTAAGTGAATCGAAGAAATATGTAAGGTTTTCACCTCGGCCATCAAGTGTAATCGAGGGAATAAACATTTCTTTTCACCTCAGGTAGTCTGTTAATCGAGAGATATATTATGCTTTTCACTTCAGTCAGATGGGTAACTGATGAGATAGAGGATAGGAGATAGATTTTAACACCGCCTTTAAAGCGTAATCTATGAGAAATCTCTTGTATTTTCAAAATCTAATTTTTATGTTTTTTTGGTTATAACATGTATATTATTAAAACAAAATCTAGATGACACACATTTTGTACCATTTATTTCAATGGCTAAACGGCCAAAACAACGACTATATATATTTACGTCAAGTATAAAAATTCGTATAATATATTTAAATGGCTACACTGATAAACCAAAAATTATACATATGTATACCTAGTACAGAAGATAGACTAGATAATCATATGCATATTCATTTTTTTGAACTCAAACATATCAAATGGTTCAAATCCAATTGACCATAAATCATAGTGGCTAATAATACTTAAGAAAGCAAGTTATCCAACCTAGAGCGGCGTCATATAATTCTTCTTCTAATAATGGTGTATGATCTTTATATACTTATACATTGAGCTATATGTAAAAAAAACTTAAAATATAATAACAAATTATCTTTCAATAAAAATCATTAATATCTAATTATAAATATATTACATGCTTACATAAATCAATAATATCAACAGAGACAATGTTCAACTTATATTTCATCTAATAATATCCACACTCATGTCCTGATGGTTGTTGCCTCATGTAAAAATAAATTATATAGTGAGTAATAATACACATAAAAATGGTGCTAAACAAAGTTTTTTCAAATTATTTAACTGGATTTGTATGTAGACTTGAATATCACTTGCTTGATGCCCTGAATATTGAATATTGTAGGTTCCAAGAATCCATATTGTTATACCCCCATTATTTGCTCCTAAGATTTCATATCATTTCATGTCACAATGCATCAAGATACACACATTAGGTTGGTTCTCTCTTTATACTTTATCCCATCTTTTAGTTTACTCTTGAGGGATTACCAAGCATCTTGAATTGTGTATCTTGTACATATTTTCTTTTAACTAACATCAATATGTGTATATATGATCCTTTGAATGTTCATATTGTAGTGACCATAATTGCATTCATCTCACCATCTAATCTAGGGTTTGAGGGGTGATTCTTAATCAAATGGTTCTCTAATGGATTTCAAGAGTTCAATCTTCAAGGTCATGTCTATAACATCAAACATTTGTGGTTCAATGAGCTCTCTCATTTTATTTAAGTTAAGATCTCCTGAAAGTTGGTGGTGGAAGTCATCAAGAAGATTCATAGGTTCATATGTTTATTTCCATGCCTTCTTCAACAAGCTTCATTGAGACTTAAGCTCAATCATTGATTATGCTCCAATACAACATCATTTCAAGGCCTCTTATGACTTATCATGCTTATTTTGCCAAAAAAAGTTCAAAAAGATTCAAGGTTGACTCAATAAGTTTGACCTAATTGAGCAAGGACTAGACTCAATGATCACAAGTGCCTAACTCTCTCAATTTTTAACATTTTGAGTTGGTTTCTTTTGCTATGGATTCTTATCACCATCTAAAACAACCTCTCTTCACATGAAAATATCCAATTGTGCAAGAAAAATCATCAAAAGTTGAAAGGGGTTTCAAGTCATTTTGACAACCTCTAAGTTAGGGTTTGTTGACTTCTAAGGACCATATCTTACTCATGTTTTGAGATTTTTGAGTGACTCCAAAGTCATGATTCTCTTTAAATGGTACTTAATAACCTATCTTCATAAATGTAAGGCTAATTATGAATGAAAGATCACTAATAGTTGAGAAAGATTACAAGTCTCCTTGAAAGGTCTTTGAATTCTAGGGTTTGACTTCAAATGATCATAACTTGGTCAGTTTTCATCTCCTTGAGCCAATTATTTTTCCAAAACAATCTTTGGGATGTCTACTACAACTTTGTTTTGATGTGCAAGACTCAAAGATGCTTGGAAAGTGGTTGAAAATTTGAAAAGATTATAGGTCTTTTGTAATTTTCCCCAAATTTGTTAATCATCTTCCAAAGACCATAACTCTTTCAGTTTTTATGATTTTTGAGTGATCTCAATTCTACAATTCAATTCAAGAGGTCCACTGCATGTCATCTTCAGATATCAAGACCAAATTTCGAGTGGAAATTCATTTATTTTGAAGAACATTATAGGTCATTTTGAAGTTCAACACTTGAATTTTTCCAAGTACAAAAGATCCGTGTGTTTTTCACAAATTCAGTTGGACATAAATTTTTGCTCAAACACCTAAATGAAGTCTTTCTTGGCACATTGTAAAGATTGATACATGGTCTTTCAAATGCTTCAATAATCATGCCATAAAGCCTCTTGAGTTGGGTTCACTATCGATTTAAAGTTGGCATTTTGAAACTGATTTTGTCAAAACAGTCGGATTTTGATTTTCGTAATGTGGCTTCTAAACACCAATTTTTTGCGTGTTTTCCAATTAAACATGTCTAACAAAGTTTCTAAGGCCATATTAAGGATTGAAATCCAAGAAATGGTTGAGTTTTGACAACTTGCAAGTCACACTTTTGTCATGATCAAGGAGTGCACAATTTCACTTGATTGCTTATCATTCACCCTCTCTCAGCATTGCATCATATTATTCTATAAATAGAGATCCTCTTTACATCATTTGAACACGCTTGGACAGCCAAAATCACTCTGCCAAACTCTCTCCATAACTCATAATTTTGTAACTTCGAATTTGGTTCAACATCCTTTTCAATCCTATTTCTTTGTTGATTATGCATCCTTGAACTTCCCTGAAGCTAACGGAAGAAGAACCAAGCCTTGAAGTGTCCTAAATCATGCTAGCCAAGTCAAGTTCCAGAGCTCTGAAGTTAAACTTCAACAGGTAGATTCCTCCATCAATTCTCTCAAAATTTGTTACTACAATGAAGCTCTCATCACTCTGATACTCATCGCATCATTTGTTTTTAACTGAAAGTGAGTTTTAATCATGAATTTTAAAATCCCTATTCAACTTTTTTCTTCTGGTTTTCTTCAAATCGACTGAGCTATAATTTATATAAACGTTTTGCGAGGGTACCATTGAAATCGTCTTGAAGAGACGAAGCGAATGGAACCAATCTAAGCTCTTGATTTTATAGTTCGAGAGACATGCAATTTGAGTGGCTGAAGGTTGAAGATAACCAACGTGTCATCTCTCAATCAATGACAAGGCGCCACTTATTTTTTTCAAATCAATTTTTTAATTAATGATATGGTAGTTTATTCAGTAATATCCATGATACGCACAACACGCCAGATCCCTTGGA